TTCGGTACAGGAAATATGGTTTCGGCATATGCTGCTCTCCAATAACCAGTCGTGTAATAAGCACTGCATAAATTGTGTGGTGGAATTCCTCTATACATAGCCACCGCCACTGCATGTGTACACGGAAAACTCTCCAACCGAAACTGTCTACACGTGCACGTGTTATCATTCAAGTCGACGATGTATTCGAAATTACGTGCACATTTCGTGGAGAAGCGAAACTGATATAGTGGTTCTACATATACCTTCCTTGCCACCTCTAGAGTCTTGAAAAGTTTATCTTCCTGAGCCGAGGTTAGCACACTTGTGCAACTCTGTGATTCCTCACGACGATCATGAAACCACTGTTGCAGCTTGTCACGAATGTTCTCAAGTATTGCGAGAATTGATAACTCTCGATCCTTCTTAAATAAGGCATTGAGCGATTCCGCATTGTTCGACGTCATTATATTATATCGACTCCCTGAAAAATGTGATCGTGCCCAATATTCGATCCCCATCTCCGTCAGATACTCCCATGTATCATAGCATTTATTTTCGATTTCAACCATAAACTTTTCGAACTCTTGAAAACTGTAAGCCTCTGCAGCTCTCCTAAACAATGTAACGATGCCCTTGCCTCGATACTTGGTTTTCAGATTTCCTTGTAAATGGTACGTACAATAACCATAATGTGCCTCGGGAAAGACTTCGGCGATACCGTTAATTATTGACTGTCCTCGGTCGGTTACGAATGCAAGGTTCTCAACATCCCCAATTACTTCCCTCAACTTCGTAAAAAATCAACGCATTGTCAAATCATTTTCTCCGTCAACTATGCCGAATGCAAGAGAGTAAATTTGGATGTTAGCATCTTGACACGAGCAATAATCAACTTGTCCTCGTATCTCGCCTTGAGGGTTGTACCGTTGACTAGAATTAAGGGTCGCATTGCGTTTCGGAATCCTCGAACGCATTGTCCAAGGGCCATAAAGAAATACTTGAAGCGATTCTCATCATCCTTCTCAATAAAAAATGCTGATTCAGTATTAATTCTTTCTATGTTATAACAAAACCTGACCAATTAAATAAACAATAATCATAATTTAAATAATTAAATAAACAATATTAAAAAACTGAAAAATTAACTAGATAAAGATTCGATAAATAATTAAATAAACAATTGAAATTAATACCTGGTCAATTTAGCATAACTCTCTTGGGTCAAACCCATCAAGTCCTCCAACGCGTATTCTTTGGCCTTCCAAACCTTCTGATTGCTCATGGCTACCATGTACTCTCGACGAACGTCATTAATAATGTCCAAAGGTCTGTAGATTGTTCGTGGATCCTGAAACTTGTGCCTTACTTCTCGACCAATGAACCATGATCGGGCTTGCCTGTGATTATTTCGACGAATACTCACTTTGCAAGTATGTTCCCATGCATACTTACGAACCACAAAGAACTCATTCGTGTCCATTTTCGCTTCTCGCAAACGCCAAAGGTAACTGTCGTCAACGCAGACAATTGTGTAAGTCGACTTGTTTGATTTATTCACTTTAAACTCAAAATTGTGTTTCAAAGCAATCCAGTAAACAGCTTCCTGCAAATCTTTCTTCGTGTCAAACAGTTACTCGACATACAAATCTTCATCATCGGGGACTATACGCGAACAATTAGAGGACCGTGCACTTGATCCAGCCTATGAGCTCCCACTCGACGCATGTCTCAAACGGGATAAAGCAATTAAATTCTCATTTGTAAAGTCATTATCTCTTTCGTTGTTTTGAACTATCGAGCAAATTCTGTGTGTAACAGTGACATCATGGTGAGGAGCAATTGTTTCTGGAACAGCTACAACATCATCACGCACTATTTTCACTATATTCCAAAACTCATTCACATTACGATCCCCTCCATCGAAATCTTTTTGTTCACTCTCGGGGACATTCTTCTTCATCAAAGTTACGCAAATAGGAATCGCACGTTTTTTGTTCATTTCAATTAAAACCTTCATTTCAACTTCAAGAGTAACCGTTATAGGTGGAATTGAAATGAATGTATTCTCGCCCATTAGAAATCTCAATTTCATTGCGTACTCAGAGGGATCGACTTTCAACAAATTTTGTATCTCATTGTACATTTCTGCATATTATGTACTGGATGTGATTACAATTACAGTACAACCATGTCTTTCACTCGTCCATTTCCACACCCATTGATCATTGTCATTATTTTCAAATTCATCAAAATAACAAATCGGGACAGCAGCTGATCCTATATCTGCATTACGAAACATCATTTATTAAAAAAATTGTAATTATGAGAATAAAACGACGAAAATAAATATGAAACAGTCGGCCCGGAGACGTTTTTAGCCAGTTGTCTTCTACATTTTGCATCCGCACATATGAATTTTTTTCCTCATTTTTGCTAAAAAAATAAATTATACATCTATTTAAAACTGTAATATTTCATTTTTCTAAAATTATATGTTGAAATAAAATTTAAATATTCAAACAATGTATTGATTTAACTAAAATGAAATTAAACATACGTATTTATACTTACCAATTTCAAGTATCGACTGTGAGTAATATTTTTTTGTTGAGTCTTTGATAATTTTTTGAGATTTCAATGTTCAAACAGATGGAAAAGGAAATTTCTTTTTAATTGTGTTGAAAAATCTGATAAGGAAAGTGATTTCGTTTTGAGATTTAATTGGAATTGTTTGGATTTATTAATTTTTTAAAGAGGGTATTATTATCTTTTGGGCAAATGATATGTTTTTGTAATTACAACACATAATAAGAACATAAATGACATTTACTCTTCAAAAGACCCTTTTGATGAATGGCAAAAAAAAGTTGGTCAATGTGGAAATTTGGTGTTTTGACTTGGTAATTTTAAATAGTATCCCGTCTGAAAGATAGAGATTGTGATTTGTTTTCAAATGATTTTTACCATGTGGAAGATATTTTGACCATATTGAACGTTTTTTTGAATTCAAATTATCGCCACATTAGCATTAGGTAAAACATTCTGGATAGCATTATGTACGTATAAAATTTTTCTAAACATATACACATAAGGATGTACCTGAAATTCTATATGGCCCCGTTTGAACCACATTAACGTAAGAATGAGAATGAAAAACATAGTCGTTATGTGTCCTACATAAGAGATAGAAAGTTAAATATGACGGTTTGATATGATGGATAACAGTCACAATTTTCATTTTAATGGGCAAAAAAAGGGAAACAAACAAGGGTATAATTATTAATTTGAATAACTTTGGATCGAAACAAACCCATTTTTAGTCGAAAGAATTATGTTAGAATACTCGATAATAAATTATCAAATGATACCACCAAAAAATCTTGGCCACGCCCAGTAACCCCCAAGGCTGAAATTCACTTGACATAAAAAGACGACAGACATCAATTGTACAGCATGAGCATTCTTAAAGGAATAGGATTTTATCAACACTGTACAATCTATCTCAAGTAAATATTCAAACACTAAAACATTCATAAATTAATCTTTTAACCTATACGAAAATATATTTAGTAATTGCACATAATTATATTTGTTTATAAAAACATCTCCTCTCTATTTAGAAAGAAATTTTGTAGATTCAATTTACGGTTTAAATTTGTATTATTTCATTGTTTTAGAGATTAATTTATTAGGACTTGCATTGTAATTTTGCCATCACTAATTTGATAAATGTTATTTTTATGCCATTAAAATCATTGCTTGAAACCAAATCGAACAATACTTTTTTTCCTTTTTCTGATTTAGAATATTTCTCAAACTGTTCCCTTCAATGAAGCCTATCTTCTAATTTACTCATATGAAATTCCCAAAAAATTGTTGTTTTGTTAACTTTAATTTGTCTTAGTTCATTATCTATATTTTGTTGAGATACATTTTGATCAAGGAATGATGCTTAGTGGCAGTACCACAAGAGAATTGATTTATGGCACATGTTAAGGGAGGATTGGATAGCACTTAAAACTTGCAAGTAAGGAAAAAAGAAGCTAAAATCTAATTCGCTGCCCAAGAAATGATCAGATAGCAGATTCATGGAAAGGCCCAAAAATTTCAGCGCCAAAAAGGAGCAGCTAAGAAAAGCTGATGAACACTATATTTTTGTAAAAATTGGATCCAAGACAACGAGAATAAGTTTTAGCATTAAGCAGACATCTATAAAAAGGTTTTCCATCCATATGAAGAAAATAAGGAAATTACGAGAACCTCAACTTTCTCGAAGCAGCAAGTCATTATGACAAAATAAAATTTATCAGAATTTGAGATAAACGCTCGATTGAGGTCAGTTGAGTCATCCTGACTGCCTAAAGTTAGAGCATGTATGGTTGTGCTTAAAAGTAAAACAAGACTTGGCATACATTCTAGAAAAATAACTTTCATGTTTTAAGCACAGTCAAACCAACACGGATCATAAAGAACATAAAACTCTGGAAGCAAGTACGAAAATAATGCACAAGTGGACGTTAATCAGCACTGTGTAATGACAGCTGAGTTTCTTTATTAAGTAAAATAAATTAATTTAAATCATTTTCTAATCCAGACTCTTAGAAACCAGGCACACTCGAACAATAGCTCAGTTTAGTTAAGATGAACCAGTATTTTCATGTCATGATTTAACCTCTTCAAGGTATTGAAGCTACACTCCAACTATAATAATACAAAAGGTTTTAACATTTGTTCTGTCTTTAATACTATCTAGTACTATGAAGTCCACCTTACCAAGCACGCCATTACAGTTAATGTATGATAATCAACTCCATGTCCTCCAACTTCTCCATCGTTCCGTCTTCCAACAACTTGCGCATTTTCCTTACCATTACTATTAGTCTATAGTAGTTCAATCCGTATGATGCCCCATCATTTTTTAACTTAACAAACTTACTTCAAACACGCAAACAAGGAAGCGAGATATTCAATTAGTAAAAGTAATTAAAAATACATTAACATTTTAAAAAAGAAAACAGTTTAAAAACTTCACATTTCAGATTATTCATTTTCCTGTTCATCAACGTGTTTTAACTTCCTAACTAGGCACATTTCATATCCACAATATTAGCAACAATGCACACTCATCCTTAAATTACACAATAAAAATGTGCAGAATTTTGTAAATGTAGCTCGACGCTAAGTTGTCAAATACAGTGCAAAACTTAAGAAGAATAAAATTCCACTGCTCACAAAAAAGATACAGTGGACAAATTCCAACCTTGACCAGGTCTTGGTGTAATTCATCCCAAGACAGGAAGCAAGAAGAGGCTCCGTTAATATTTCTCAAATATCTACATGTATGGGGCCTTCCATCGAGCACATTTGGGAAGCCTGTGAGTCACGTTAAGATCATTTTTTCCCCAAAATCAAAACCACAAATTCCGTTAAAAGCAATACTAGGACACTGCATCATAACAAACATAATCAAAACCTAGTAGTTCATCCAATGCAATTGTTCACTATTTACATCTCAAACACAATTAATAAGATAATCAAACTCCTAAAAAGCAAAACTAGAACATTAAACCATAACGAAGATAATCAAATTTTATTCATTTTTGCAAACATTCACCTTTTACATCTTAAACATGATCGAGATAATCCAATTCCTGAAACAACAAAAAAAGAAAAGAAACAAAACTAGGATATTGAATCATATCAAAGACAATCCAAATCTATTCATTCATGCAAACATTCACTGTTTACATCTTAAATGCGATTCAGAAAATAATCCAATCCCTTTAAAGAAAGAAACTAGGCTATTGCATCAAGAGAAAAGGTAATCCAAGCATACCCATTTGTACTAACATTCACTGCTTACATCTTGGGAGACAATAAATGTTTTAAACCCCTAAAAATAAAAATAAAAATAAAAAGAAATATTCTAGAGGCTATCTACCTATTTCGAAAGCATCCAAAGCATTGATTACATAATTCAGTACTATTATACCTCAACCGAGGTGTTGGTGAACCACACCAGATTCTTCCAGCCTCCATCTCAGCATTGAATCCACCTCTACATCAGATTATCAAACAGGTCCAGGTTACATAACATCCAGCAAAATATACACTCAAAACGGAACTTGAGAAACTCGAACTTAAGTGCAGGCAGATTAGCACGCGTGCAAGCAGGCGAAGAAGAACGCTGCTTGCACACTAACATATGCACACTGTAGGAATTGAAAAGGAATTAGGAAGGGTGGGCACCTACCTTAACCAAAGGATCAAGAATTGGCTTCATCTACCTTATTACATGTACCTCTGCAAGAAATAAAAGCCAAAATTGTCAAATTTTGAAATCAACCCACAAGAAATTGATTATTTAATCGAGATATACAAAGAATTAATCATGGTCATAAATGGAAAAATTCCTTACCAGAGCATCATGAACCCTGTATGAGTCAGCCGTAAGCCCCACCAAATACAATCCAGGAAACACACCCTGCAAAACAACACAAATGAAATATTTTCCACCAAACACAGAGAAGAGAAAACAAAACATTGGTTTTTAAGTGTTTAACTGACATACATCGAGTTGTTTCTGAATGTTTTTGGACCTCTTCTTGGGTCTTCGAGCGGGTTTTGAACCAGTTAAAGCGTAAACATCATCATCGATCTCCTCCCTTGACAATGAAATCCAAATCTTCATCTTCTCCTTCCTCTCCACACCAAAGCCCATACCCAATCCCCCACTCGGCTCCCCTCCTTCCGCCCATCCCCTCAGTCTACTCGATTTTAAAGCACTAGTAGTGCTATTGATTCTGCTATTTTCAACCGATGTTTCTTTCTTGGCCGCAGCCGCTTTGACCTCCTTCCTCGGCCGCAAATACCATTCCTTGCACCCCCAATTCTCCTCCTCGGCACAAACCACACCCATTTGAGGCGGGCTTTTCGGAATACTATGGAGCTGCTCTGTTCCAGTCTTAACGACTCGAATCTCAGAGTAGGTATCAGGGATTGGTTGGCGGTTGTCAGGGGAATCGTGGCGGCGTACCCGGTGGTATTGTGAGGTGGAGTTCTTGTGGGCCCACTTGAGTTGGGGCAAAGAGAAGTTATGCAATGGCTTTGATTTTATGGGCGCCGTCTCCATCAGAAGCACTACCACATGAACACTTCAGCCGTTTCTTTATCAGTTTAAGAAATTCTGCTATGATATCTGAAAATTTTAAAAGAAAGAAGAACGAGTGCGGGGAGATGTTTTCATAGAGAGAGAAGGAAGAGAACGAGGGAATGAAACAGAGGTTGCGAGGGAGTAGAATAGATCAAAGAGAGAGTCCGAGAGGTCACGCTACGCATATATGGTGATGTAGGGAATGTACGGAGGTGGAGGTTTTAGAGTATGTTTGGTTATAGGGTTACAAAAAACAAAAAATAGATGATTTTATTTAAAATTGTTATAAAAGAGAAGAGAAGAAGAAAACAATGAAGTCGATAGATTTGTATATATTTTATTAAGAATCAAAGTCCCGTATTTATAAGGCAGAATCGGGAAAACAACGGTAATAATCTCTAGGGCTATAGAAATATAATTGTAATTTACCTATAAATCTTAATAAACTTATATTTTTACAACACTCCCCCCTGAATGACACATTACAAAATATATGTCTCGTTAACACTTGTTTGATAAAAATTCAATGGGGAAAAAAGCAAACAAATGAAAAATAGTACAGTTATTTTGAAGTACTAAAAATAAATATTGTCTCATTAAAACCTTACTAGGAAAATTCAATGAGATAAAACCTAAGCGAAGGAAAAAGAGTACAGCTTTTTCACCTGATGTTGATCACTGAAAATCTTTAAGTTCGACACATTCCAATCTCATAAACTAATTTCTTGAATGTAAATATTGACAATACTTTTGTGAATAAATTGGCCACATTGTCACTTGAGCGAATTTATTGGATATCGATGTCGCGCATTCTTTTGAAACTCATGTCATGTGTATGAAAGAATTTTGGAGAAATATGTTTCGTCTCGTCACCTTTGATATAGCCTTCTCAAAATGGTGCAATACAAGCTGCATTGTCTTCATACAAAATTATTGGACCATCCTTTGTTGAAATTAAACCGCATGATGTTTAGATATGATGGGTCATATTTCTCAACTATACACATTCTTGACCTACTTCATTGATTGCAATAATTTCAAAATGATTTGAGAATGCTGTTGTCAAGATTTGTTTCATAGATCTCCAAAATGTAGCCGTCCATCCACGTGTAAACACACAAACTTTTTGTGATTTAACTTTATGTGGGTCAGTTATGTGGGTCAGATAGATAACTTGCATCTTCATATCCCACTAAATCAGATCCCGACTTTTGAGAATAAAATAATCTCAAATTAATAGTACCCTTTAGGTAATGAAAAATATGTTTAACACCATTCCAATATCTTTCAGTTGGTATAGAGCTATAACTTGCAAGGAAATTTACAGAAAAAACTATGTCGGGTCAAGTGCAATTTGCAACATAAGTTAATACTCCAATTGTACTAAGGTATGGTACTTTAGGATCAAGAACATTTTCTCCATCTTCAAATTGACGAAATTGATCATTTTTCATATCAAGTGATTGAACAACCATAGGTGATGTCAATGAATGTGCATTATTCATATAAAAACGTATTAAAACTTTTTCTGTATATGTAAATTGGTGAACAAATATTCCATTTGCGAAATGTTCAATTTGCAATCCGAGACAAAATTTGGTCCTCCTAAATCCTTTATCTCAAATTCATTTTTCAAATAATCAGCAGTTTTGTTGAACATTTCAGGAGTTCCAATTAAATTTAAATCATCAACATAAAATACCACAATTGCAAATCCAATATCTATTTTCTTTATGAAAACACATGGACGAATATTGTCATTATTATAGCCCCCATTCAACAAATATTCATTAAAGCGATTATACCATATGCATACGGATGATTTTAATCCATATAATTATTTTTGCAGTTTAATTGAGAACAAAATTTTCGGGCATGTATCATTTGTTCCTGGTACTTTAAGTCCTTCGGGATTTTTATATATGTATGTCAGTTCAAGTAAACTATACAAATATGCAGTTAATACATCCATAAGGCGTATGTCAAGCTTTTATGGCACAGTCAAACTAATTAAAAATCTAAAAGTGATGGTATCAATTACGGGAGAATATGTTTCCTCATAATCAATTCATAGTCTTTGTGAGAAATCTAAATCTACTAGTCGGGCTTTGTATCTCATAATTTCATTATTTTCATTTCTTTTATGTACAAAAATCCATTTGTATCCAACATTTTCAGGTGTTCGAACTACAAGTCCAAATACTTTTCGTTACTCTAAGAAATTCAATTCCGCTTGTATGACTTCTTTCCATTTTGCTCAATCATTTCTATTTGACAATCTTTAATTAACCGTGGTTTAATATCCTCATTTTTCATAATATCAAGAGCCACATTAAATGTAAAATGTTATCTATAAATAAGATAACATGAAATCTCATTATTTTCGGACATTTGTGGTTCTTTAAAAACCATATCTTCAATATTTGATTGATCAATCTTTTCTAATATTACTTCTTCTGAAGTTTTTGGTTGGTTTTTTTCCCGTGGCTTTCTTTTTTGAGGTATAGAGTCTTTTGAACTAACTGGCCGACCACGCTTTTAGCGTATTTGAGATTCTTTGCTAAAGCAGATGACAATCCTATAGGGACATTAATTTTTGTTGGAATATTTTATGTTAGAATATACGACTTTATCACTTTTCTTATGTCAACAAATGTATTAGGTAATTGATTTGCAACTCTTTGCAAATGAATAATTTTTTTAACCTCTTGTTCACATTGATTGTTGCAAGGATTAAAGGGAGATAGAGTCATTTCATTTCAAGTAATTTTACCTTATTTTTCAAGATGTAGCTCTTTCTCTTCCAATGTTGGGAAAGTCAATAACAATTTGCAAAATGTGAGTAAATAAATTATCCGTTAAAGGTTCAAGATACCTAATAATTGATGGTGAATCAAAACCTACATAAATTTCAACTCTTTATTGGGGACCCATTTTAGTACGTTGTGGGGGTGAAATAGAGACTTGGACTGCACAACAAAAAATCCGTAGGTGAGAAACATCAGGTTCGTGACCAAATGCCAGTTGCAAAGGTGAATATTGATAATGGACAATTGATCTAATACAAACCAATGATGCAACATGTAAGATGACATGACTCCAAACAGAAGTTGGGAGTTTCGTTTTCATAAGTAATGGTCTAGCATTAAGTTGTAGACGTTTAATAAACGATTCTGCTTAACCATTTTGTGTATGAACATGCACAACTGAATGCTTAATTACAATCCCAATTGACATACAATAATCATTGAATGCTTGTGATTTAAATTCACCAGCATTGTCAAGGCGAATATTTTAATTGAGTAATAAGAAAATTGCGCTCGTAATTTTATAATTTGAACAAGTAGTCAAGCAAAGGCTACATTCCTAGTGGAAAGTAGGCAAATATGTGACCATCTAGTAGAAAAATCAATTAATACCATAAATAATGAAATCGTCCATGTGGTGGATGTATTGACCCACGTATATTTCCATGAATTCTTTCCAAGAAAATTGGATATTCAATATTGACCTTTGTAGTCGAAGGTCTAATGACTAACTTGCCTCGCAAACAAACTACACATAGATAATTATTTGGTAAAAGAATCTTATGGTTCTTTAAAGGATGTCCACGTGAGTTGTTTATTATTCGACGCATTATTATAGCTCCTGAATGTCCAATTCGATCATGCCAAAGTATAAAGCTTTTTGGGTCAACGAATTTCTAGTTCTTGATATTATCTGATTCAATCATTTTTATAAATATATAATACATGTCATATGAGAGTGCATGAAAATTTTCTTTTATTTGCTTATAACCAGATACAAAAGAAGTTATGCAAATATATTCGACATTATTCTCTTACATCGTTTCAATATGATATCCATTGTAATCGATATCTTTAAACATAAGCAAATTTCGTTTAGATTTGCTAGAATAAAATGCATCGTCAATATATAATTTTGTATCATTTGGTAAAATAATACAAGTTTTTTCGAAGTTTTCAACGATATTCGATACACCTGATATTGTATTAACATTATTTTCTTTTAATCTCAAGTCTAAAAAATATTTTTTCTTGAAAAATAGTGTGTGTAGTTGCACTATCAATCAAGTAGGTGTCTTGACAATCCATCATGAATCTATCAATATAACAAAATCGATATATTTAAAAAAAATTGAATTTAAATTCAAAATGATAAACATAATTAATACTATGAAGTTAACGATGCATAATAATATTCAAAATTTTTGTGAAAAGTAAAAATATATTTCAAATTAAGTTTCTAAAATAAAGGAAAACACTAGAAACATAGAAAAACTAATCTATATCATCCATCACACCATCTCCAATCAAATGATCAATATTTTCATTTGAATCAGCAAAAAAATTGGAGACATCCAAATGAGTCACATCAATTGGACCATCATAATCAGACAAATTTGATTCCACTTTCCCTTTTCCTTGATTGATTTTTGATAGAGATCCACAAGGTGTTTTACTGTATAATAGGTATGTGTCCAATGTTCTTTCATTCCACATCTAAAACTACTTTCTTCATATACCTTTTTGGACGTACTACTTTCGTTTGTCTTGTGCCTTTTGAAATTGTTGTCTTGTTATTGATAACTTTGTTGATTATTTCGTCCATAGTTTATTCCACGTGCACGTCTGCATCCACGTCCAAATCTATGTCCATGTTCACGTTCTTATCTTGATATTGCATTTACTTTAGGCAATGCAGTACCGTTTGCTTTAAACAATGGTACAGAACTAGTTGAACTTAACCCATGATTTGTCATCAGCAGTTCATTATTCTGTTTGTCAAAAGCAAAATATAAGCTCTGAGTACCTTTGAAATCACGCTCGCGATATTGCTGCAGGAGCACATTTGAGGCATGAAAGGTGAAAAAAGTTTTCTCTAACATATCTTTATCAGTGATTTTTTCTCCATATAATGTCAATTTTGAATATATTTTAAACAATTCAGAATTGTACCCACTAACAGTTTTGAAGTCTTGCAAATGAAAGCGCATTCACTCATAGTGGACTCTAGAGAGGACTATAGTCATTTGATGATAAAATCTTTCGAGTTAATTTTTTCGAAAGTACCTGTGGATCTTTTTCAATGAAATTTTCAATTTTCAGTCCATCGTGAAAATGATGGCGAAGGGAGATGAGTGGT